CAAATGGGAAAAACTATAGCTATGTAGAAGATGGTCATATAGTTAAATGCACCCGCATTGCGAAGTGAAATAAGGAGAACAATCGTCCACGAACTGTTTTGGCGAAGTTTGCAACACCCCTATTGAGAGATAAGTTCTTTGCTAATGTAATAAATTACAATAAAACCCATCCGTCTGATAAACTGAACTCTTCACATTTGGGAATAGCAGGTGAAAAAATGCCTGTCTTCGTGTGTGAACATCTTACCCCGGAAGCCAAGGCATTACACGCAGCTAGTCGCGGAATGGTAACATCTACTTAAGAAAAGCGCCGTCCAGTGATGTAATTCTTGTTAAGAACTTAGAGTTCCTTAACGAAATTTCTTAAAAACATACCATTTATTATTATATTTTTTTTTAGAAATTTAAAACATATAAAATATTTTTAACTCAGTTACACTTTTATTTAGTTGATGAACTGTATTAGTGTCTTTTATCAAAACATTAGAGGTCTTAAAACCAAAACTCATGAGGTAAATAGTGCTATTTTAAATTCGGAATTTGACATTATTGTGTTAACTGAAACTTGGCTATGTGAAAGTATATTAAATAACGAAATTATAGATAAACGATACGTGGTTTTTCGACGTGACAGAGAATCTTCTATTTTGCGTACCAAGCACGACGATGGTGGCGTACTTATTGCAGTTTCAAAAAAACTTAAAAGTTATAGAGTTATGAAATTTGAAAGCGACTACGAGGATATGTAGATTAACATTGATTTTAAAGCAGGTAACGCAAATTTTACTCTATCGATTTGCGGTGTTTACTTGCCGTCACCATTAAATTATGAGTGTCTTAAAAGCTTCTGTGATAATGTTTCCCGTGTATCAGTTGAGCAAACTAATACAATATTAATAGGAGATTTTAATTTATCCAATATAATGTGGACTGAACATACTAGTCAAAAATATCTTATTCCTGTTAGTAATAGTGGCAAGATGAACGAATATTTTATAGATTTCATAGCTGAAAATCGTCTTTACCAGTTTAATCAAGTCCGAAATCCTTTTAACAAAACTCTTGACCTAATATTAAGTAATAAAGAAAGTACATTTATAATCAACGAAGTTAAAAAAAGCCCTTATCCCTTAAGCCATATAGACAGACATCACCCACCCCTTGAAATGAGTATAAATTTTACTCCAGTTTCACACCTAGAAACAAACATAAACGAAAGAATAAATTTTTATAACGCAGATTACAGTGTTATTATAGAGGAGATAGAAAAAATATCTTGGAATGAAATGTTTATTACATGTGGTGATCTTGATGAAATGCTAAAAGTCTTTTATTGCAAGCTCCGCGAGATTATAGGTCGGCATATTAGGAAATATAAGAGAGGAAATAGTAAATATCCGCGTTGGTTTTCAAAAGACTTAATAAAAAGATTAAAAGAAAAAAATAAATACAGAAACTTATATAATAAGTATAAAAACCCTCTTGATGAAATATCGTTTAAATTACTGCGTAAAAGATGTGAAACCTTAATACACTCATGCTATAAAAATCACATTAAAAATGTAGAAGAAAATATAATTAGTAATCCAAAATATTTTTGGTCATATTTAAAAGAGATTAGAAATAATAAAAGTGAATATCCTTCTTATATGACATTAAATGCACAAATTTTTTCCAATGGTACAGACATATGTAATAGCTTTGCAAAACATTTCTCAAGTATATACTCCGATTATCCTATAGGCAAAGAGAATGAGATTCCTAACATTGAATGCGTTAGTATTAATTAAACTTTATCTAATATACATATAAGTGTAGAAACTTGACAGCAATAAAAGCGCTGGTCCCGAAAATATACCGCCTTTCTTTGCTAGGAAATGTGCAGCAGCCCTAGCGCGCCCTTTAAGTATCATATATAATGCTTCCTTGAAAGAGGGGTTTTTTCCAAGCGCTTGGAAGGAGGCTGGAGTTGTGCCTGTTTTTAAAAGCGGAGATGGGACCGATATAACAAAATACAGGCCCATATCAATACTATCCGTATTCCCAAAGGTGTTTGAGGCTATTATCTGTCCAATTATAAATTGGCACATGAAATCTATACTAATTGATAGGCAGCATGGATTTTTGAGAGGAAGGTCCACAGCGTCAAATCTTTGTGAATATATTGATAATTTATGTGTGTCTGTGGAAAATAACCTTCAAGTTGATCCAATTTATACAGACTTCTCAAAAGCGTTTGACGTCGTGAATCATTCATTCTATTTCATTACTAAAGGGAGTAATAAATGGATTTCAATATGAGGCATTTATAGCATGCATATTCAGGTGTGCCACAGGGCTCACACTTAGGGCCAACTCTGTTCAATATTTTTATAAATGATGTAGTAAATTGTTTCCTGAATAGTGATGTACTTCTCTTTACAGATGATTTAAAATTGTATAAAGAAATAAAAACCGTTAATGATGGAAACTTACTACAAAATGATATTAATAGGCTGGTCTCCTGGTGCGAGCTTAATAATGTAATCCTTAATCGTGAAAAATGTTACCAAACATCTTTTAATAAAAAAATCCATCCAATTTTTAATGAATATAATATTAATGATTTTGTCATAAAAAAGACAAATGTTATTCGTGATTTAGGTATTTTAATTGATTGTAAATTAAGTTTCACTACGCATATGGGATCAAGTTATAAAAAAATCATTGAAATTTTTAGGATTAATTAAACGGGTAACTAAAACTTTTAAAAATAAAAAATTCAAAGTAATTCTTTTTAACTCATTTATTCTTAGTAATCTTGAATATTGTTCTTCTGTCTGGAATCCACATTATCAAACACACACACACACATATATTTACATATATATATATATATATATATATATATATATATATGTTAGAACGAGTGCAAAAGAAATTCCTTAAGTACCTTTATTTCAATAATAACAAAATACACAGGCAATTAACTTACATTGAAAGACTAGATCATTGTAATGTGATTTCATTAAATGATCGAAGAGCGCTTGTAGACGTGTGCTTGTTAGACAAAATCGTTCACAATAAAATTAGCTCGAATAATCTTTTAGGTAAAATATCATATGTTATTCCTAGACCTAATTCTAGAATAAGAAATTATAGTTTATTCAAAACTAGGTATTGTAGAACAAATGTTGGACTATCAGCTCCAATTAATAGAACCATAAAAACTTATAATGTAATTTCTAAATTAGTCGACTAATTAGAAATTACATTATAAGTTTTTATGGTTCGGGATGGTTTTAAGGTTTTAAGGAATCGGTGTTCTTTAGCGAGGATTTGTGGTCTATCAAATCTGATGTAGTGACGGGGGCGATCCTGTACATGTTCACAGACTGCAGACTTCCTCTGCAGTCTGTGAACATGATTCCTTCCAAGGATGATTCGCGAGGCTATTGAAATCAAAAAACATCCTAATTTCAATAGAGAAGATGGCTGGGTGCTACCATCTGCTTGGGATCCTATAATAAATAAAATTAAATCCCAACCCAAGCATACAACTGCAAGACTCCATGATACCATAAGTTCATACTGTGTAGATCGGAACAAAAGTTAAATTTTAATCTATGGTAACCGCGGTTAACTATGACAGCTGGACGTTGAACATCTCAGTCCTTCCCGTGACCATGGGTGCTGTAAAGCTCTCGAAACGTCGGGTAATTAAAAAGTTAAATATACGCGATAAATTCCGTAAAAACTAGTATTATTTCAATGTGTAGTGTTCGCGTAAATATAAGAAATCCTTTCTTCCTTTTTCAATAATAATGTGCGTTACTTATTATTTTACTTTAACTAACTAAACTTCAGATTAATCTATAAAATTTGTAAACATTTTTTCATTGTACAATATCATGTTGGCTTCCTAATAAATAAATAAATAAAAATGAAACTTCTCAGCGATCATGCGCATGGAAAAGACTTGATCTATACACCCCATTCTCTTTCTAAATCCCGCTTGCACATCCCAAATTTTTTCATCAGTTTCTTTCATAACTCTTTCAATTAGTACCTTAGCATACAGTTTTCCCACAATGCTAAGAAGGCTGATACCACGGTAGTTTTTACAGTTCTGCTGTGACCCTTTTCCCTTATATATTGGGACTATCACGGCTTTGCACCAGTCTCCCGGTACCCGCTTTAGTTCCTAACATAAATTGAACAAGGTGTACAACAGGCCTGCCACCACGTCATCTCCAGCCCTTAGCATTTCGAGTGAAACTCTTATCATATCCGGCTGCCTTACCTACTTTCAAGCTTTTCATTGCTTTCATTATTTCATCTATACTTATCTCCCTCACACGTCTCCTCACTCATAAATACGCTTTCAAAATATTCCTTTCATCTCTTTAGACTCAACACTTCATCATTCAGAATACAGCCATTCTCGTCTCGTATCGCATTCAACCTAGGCTGTTTTGACTAAATACTCATAAGAGAAAAATACTTTTTTGCTAACGTAAAGCGCGCGTCAGCTGGAGCGCGCGAGTGTCAACCTCACGGCAATAGCCTCTTGTTGGCGGCCGCGCAGCGTAGGTATATTTTCATGCTTTAAGCGCGTATTGAGACCTGGTTTTGGTGAAGATTTAGTTTGCTCGTCAGATGGATCAAGAAAAGAGCTTACTCTTTTCTAAAGGGCCGGTAACGTGCCTGCAATTCCCCTAGTGTTGCGGATGTTCATGGGTGGCGGTAGTCACTTAACATCAGGTGAACCGTATGCTCGTTTGCCCCCTTTTCTATAGAAAAAAAAGGATTCAACGTTTCCAGGCTGGCCACGGTATCGTCGGCAGGAAAATGAGTGTTGAAGCTGCCATTGCTGATAATGGTGTTGTTCTTTGTATTGTATTTTAAAAATATCACCGGTTGTTACGACTATTTGTTTCCATGACCAAATATGAGTAGTCCATTCTATGACGTTATAACAGATTTTGACTGTACTAATAGTAATATTGTATGTTGCGTAGTGTGCGAGAGCGGGTACCGGGTGCCGCCGGCGCACGGGGTGCACGGCGCTGTTGGCGCGCGCCTGCCCGCCGCGCTGCCGCCGCCCGCCGCGCCCGGCCCGCCGCATGCCTCGCAGGTGCCGCGCGAGGCCGACTCGCTGCAGATGCTGCTCCGGGTCAGTACACGCACACATGCGCTACACGTACACACACACGCAAGGTGCGCGCTTGCCCGCCGCAAACGAATACACATGATTATAGTATTAAATAATTTCACTTTATACTGTCTCTAATGTAATGTAAATGTCAATTTCCCTCTGTTGGCCCTAAGCCCTGGGCTGTAGGCCACTTAAAATTAGGTAGACTCTTAGCTTGTTTCTAAATAAACCAATTTTCAATAAATATGTTAAACAACTGTTTTTCAAACAAAATCTGCTTCGCCAACAAAGTATAAAAGTACTTCACTATTGGCGAAAGTATACAGCCTATCTCTATCACCGACTGATTTCGAGCAATCTTAAGATTTACAACGTGAGTTATAAGGTGAGATTGTGTTCGGCAGCGGTACCCGGTGCTGTGGCAGGGGCTGCTCGCGCTGAAGAACGACGCGGCGGCGGTGCAGATGCACTTCGTGGGCGGCAACCCGGGCGTGGCGGGCGACACGCTCACCGACGGCTGCACGTCGCTGCTGCGCATCGCGCAGCGCATGCGCCTCGAGCCCGCGCAGCTCGACCAGGTGCACCGCAAGATGAAGGTAATGCAACGCTCGCCGCTCGCCACTCGCCGACCAGACACGAATAGGCACTACTACGAACATGTAATCATATGTGTTCGTGTTTGTGTATTCATTCGTATCGTGTCGGTGTGTACAAACTCGTCATTATTTACTTGACCCGTAAACTTTATCGCAGGTGGTTATTATTTTTCTTATACTAGATGACTTTTTTACCGTCTGGAAAAAGTAAGGTGTAACAGGTTAACGGAATACAAGCTTATGGCACTGATATTTTACAATTTTTTTTTCGTTAACCTATAATGAAAATTGATCTATCAATAATGGTGGAGTGGTGGCACCCCACCACCCCGATGTGTCGATAGGAGGGTACGAATGATATCGTTTTGGAAAGGGATAACCGATTTGGCAGCCTACCGTCAAATAAAATAAATACGAATGGTTTTCCGCGCAACCAATTAAAATGAAATAATCATTCCGTACTAAAAAAATAAAAACAAAATTTTGAATCAAAAACAATCGAAATTCAAAGCATACACATCCTACTTTACGAGCGGCAATAAACAATGAATAACGCACTCGGCGCACTCGCCGTAGGCGTCTTCGTCCTTGTCCTTTAGCAGGGTCGCACGCGCAAAGGCAAGGCCGGCCGCGCTCTAATTTCAGTGACCTGTGATTAGCGACGTGACGTCGTACTTCTTCCGCGTGTGTATCTGTCGCCCGCTGATAGTTATCGTAAACATGTACCAATCTACGAGGGCACTGAAATTTTTGGGAATCAAGCAAGTGACACAACATTACTATTTAAAAGTATATTTATTGCTTTTCGAAGTATTCTCCGCGAAATTTGACACATTTTTCCATACGATGGAACCAATCATTGAAGCAACCATACCATTCGGAAGTTGGGGTCTCCAAAATGGCCGTTTTGTAGGCGTCCACAGCTTCTTCAGGTGATGAAAATCTCTGTCCACGCAATTTATAGGCTTAGGTCGGGGCTGTACGGCGGATGGTCTAATAATTCTATGTTTTATTGCTCTAAAAACTCTTTTGTTCTGTGTGCGGTGTGAGAACTCGCATTGTCGTGATGGAGGATGAAGCGGCGGTTGAAGTTCTCTTTACGGAGTTCAGAAACGACCTGTGGCAAACAAATGCATACCATTCTGCATTAACCGTTCTTTGTCCCTGAAGAGGAATAGTCGTAACATGGCCGGTTTTGGAAACAAACGTGGCCACCATTTTTTTTGCAACACTACGTTTAAAATAATATCACCTATTTTTGGTTTTACGCAAGTGCCGTAGGATGAATTGTTTTTATGTATCTTTTTGAATATTCGGAAATTTTGCCTATCAATTATGTTTTACAAATACTTTCGAGGATAGCTTCTGTTCTACTTACACAAAACACCATATTATTTCAGACGGAAAAAAGTCATACAGTATAATAATATATTTTTTTTAAATAATATTAAACAATAAAAATACCTACCTTTGTGATGGATTAGAGTAACGATTTTTTTGATAATCTAAACGTGCCGTAACTTGACACTGCATCACCTATCTATTTTGATCCCGCCGGTGACGTCTTACGAACTGCTGTCGGAAGCTATCACAGAAATAAATATAACATATACAACAAATTGAAATAAATAAGACAATAGAAAAAAATTAGCGCTCGATACTTCCAAAACCGATGTCGCCACATCTTACCGTATTATAAACATACGTAATGCACAATTATATCTAGTGTTTCACATTACATTGCTCGGTGAGTTTGTCAACGTCGCGTGCGTCGCGTATTACGGTAGAACAAAAGCAGCAATGGTAATTGTAAAATACGAAAAGTAATAAACGAAAGTTTACAAAGGTAAATATCATAGTAAAGTATTCATCTAGGTGTAAATTAGTTAAAACAATGATAATTAGTAAATAATTAACTTACTGATGAAATGTTATGCCTTTATTATTTGAATTACACGTGCTTGATGAGTTAAGATTATGCTGCAGTTCACCATTATGATAACATAAATTTACATACGACGTTCCCCGTGCAACTAAATCACAAAATGGTGAATGATGTTCGTCAACACATCATAGCGGCGACAAGGTCACGCGTCTAATGCGACTTCTATTGTCTTAAGCTACCGACTATGTAATAGTAGCTTTAAGCAACGCTTATGCAAAAATCTCGAAAGCAGATTGGGATACCACGGACAAAATATGAAGCAATCTCAACATAGCTAGTTAAGTGGTAGAAGATTCTGTCTGGATTGATACCACCATGTTTTTGTGCCACCAAGCAGCAGTGCATAGCTGTGTTCCGGTTGGCAGGGGATAGACTGTGAGGCATTCCAACTTCATTGGTGATGGCGCAGCCTTTCCTGCAGTAGCCTCTTACCGTTAGTTGGACTCTAAGCTCGCTTCTCGGTTCATTATATTATATAGTTGCGGAAAAAATACTTGTTTTAAGTTGGCACGGTTCAGGTTCAAGATCACCGGCGTATTAGTTAGGTGTTCTAATCATTAGGCCATCGTCAACACTTTTACAATAAATATTTACTCAGATACAGTGTTAAATATACAGGGACACCCATACCCATAAACTGAGATTTGTATTTTATTATAAATATTAATTTCTGCTGGAAATTGAAACCAAGATCTGTGAATTTGATGCCAGGTCATGGAGTCATTAGATCTTCAAAATATTTTATTGGATCATTTTATTAATGTTTTGCTTATATTATGGTTAATGTTAGCCCAAGTAGGCTATAAGTAATAAGTTATCAAATTGTCATTACGAGTTAGCTTCAGACTGTTAAGTCTCTTTAAGAATCTGTGGTTTGGTGCCAAGGCCAAATCTAACTTCCAAATACAAGCAGACAATTTCACTACAAGAAAGCGACGTGTCGATGCGTCCGATGTGTTGATGCGGGTACTTACTTGATGTTGTGGGCGCAGCTGGAGAGCGAGCACTGCATCCTGCTGGCGCTGCCGTGCGGTCGCGATCACATGGATGTGCTGCAGCAGTCCAACAACCTCACCAGCGGCTTCATCACTTACCTGCAGCGCAAGCAGGCCGCCGGCATCGTCAACGTCGCGCCGCCCGGACACCACCAGGTAATCGTCGCATGAGGCTCTCATGCACTAAATAATAAACACCATAACCTTGACTCTTTGCCCTTCAATATCAGTTTGCCGTTTAGGCTACAGGATTCAAAAAGAAACAGATACACTTACTAGGGGTGTTGCGTTTTTACATCCGCGGATGTGAATTTTTGAGGATTCGTCCATGGATACGGATGTGGATCCCTAGTTAGATTAACTGATTGAATGAAGGGGATGGTCATTGATTCATTCATCACAGCTTCAAAAGTTCATCGTTAAACATAGGTATCTTCCATAACTTGCCTCATAAAAAGATATTTGCTATAGTTAGAACGCTTGCTTAGGACTAAGTATGCAATTTGGAATTGGTTGCAAGTAATTTAAATTAGAAAATGAGACGATAGAGGTAATCACTAGCAGTTCTAATAATTTAGTATGTAGATTACAAATCCTTAATTGTATGACTCCACAAATTGATAACAAAAATTGTTTACACGTGAAAAATCGTACGCTGACTTTGTTTTGGAGGGGGTACGATTTGTGAGGTGCTTGAAGTAAGCTGTTTCTCTTGGAATTCTTGCTGATGTATTTCCTCTATCCGTCCCTCTACAGATACCTTGGCTTTAAGTTCTGCTTCTGCTAATAACTGATACCAAGATGAGCAGTTGATATCAGTAGATTCTTAATTACCACTGTCTTTGTTGCTGTTATCAAAATTTTCGGGGAGAGTTATATGTACGTCAGCTTCCAGTACATCATCTTCTAAGTTCGAAATTATGTCATTTACCTTGAACCTAAAACAAAAAGCATGCAATACTAAGCCTAATGTATTCATACATTTACTCAATGTTAACAGAGTAATATGTTCCCATTGTTTAAAAAATGAAAAAGTGTCAGAAAATATGTCATGTACACTAAATACTCAACAAATTTATTCATTTTACTATTATATAAATAACAGGAAAATCGGTTATTATTTGCAAGAAAATACATAATTTTACAAGAAACAAATACATTTTACTTACCGACTGTGTGACGCCATTTTGTGAAAATTACTAAAAACAAAACAATAATTGACATTTAAAATCCGTGCGCAATGCAATTTGTGGTGCTCGCTTTTGACAGATAAGTAATTCAGTGTTAACCATACGCAAAAAATACTGATTTGCAATTTTAATATTTAAAAAAATACATTAATGCTACCGCTCCAAGAATGGATCTCCTGGAACATGTGGGTTATGAAAACCACAGATCTGTACGGGATTTCCTATAAAGTTATTGCGTCTGTAATAGATATAATCGCACCTCAACTAGCTATTATTTTAAATACGAGTGTCGAATCTAGTGTATTTCCTGATTTAATGAAGCAGAGTAAAATAAAATCTTTATTTAAATTTGATTGTACACATGCCCACGCCAATTTAAGACTTATTCGTTTACTGCCAACACTTGTAAAAGTTTGCAAAAAATATTTTGATCGAATGTTAAAAATATTTGATGTAAATAATTAACTTCATAAAAACTAATTCGCACGACAACTGATGCTGGTGTTGGGCTGATTAAATATATCTTCAATGCATGGGATAATTCACAGGATGCTTTGGGTATATTCTGTGACCTATCCATGGCCTTTGGTTGTGTTCGCCATGAAACATTAATGAGGAAACTTCAATACTCTATGGTATAAGAAGTGGTTCTCTTAAATTAATTATTTTATATTTAAGTAACAGAACGCAAAAGGTTGTCATTAATAGTATGAGTTCTTGCGGGTCGATAGTACAAATGGGCGTGCCTCAGGGCTCAATTTTCGGCCCCTTTCTGTTTCTTGTATAATGACTTAGCTTACATAGTAGGGGCCACCCATGATATAGTATTGCTTGCTGAAGATACTTAATTAACTATTAAATTAAAACGACAGTTAATAAAATATGACGAAGTAAATAATGCTATATCTAAATTAATAAATTGGTTTTGTGTTAATAATTTGCATTTAAATAACACTAAAACTAAATCTATGAAATTCCAAATGTTACACATTAAAATAAATATCAAATAAATACCAATGTAATGTTAAATGGGGAGGAGCTGAGTCTGGTCGATACCACCATTATTCTTGGAGTCACACTAGTTAAATATAACAACATGTACAAAAATAAAAGTGGTTTTACAAAAATAAGTGATATTCATTCTTTAAATACTAGGAACGGGCACTAACTAGTAGTACCAGTTACTCGACTTCCACTGAGTCAGTAATTCATTCTTGGGGCGATGTATAACATATATGATTATAAGCTGTTAAAAGGTCGTGCAAGGTTTCTTGCTGGTTCTTCTCAGGACAGAGAATTTTTTTTCGCACCAGAGTGACTTTCAATAATTAAAGTACTTTCAGTAAGTGTTATTTATAATCTATATTGAATAAAAAGTTTCTGTTTCTGTTTCTTGGCAGGCAGTTTGGCAACCGCAGTTTTTTTATTATTTTATATGTAGTTAGGAAGATGGTGGTCAATAATCTTTCTTTTTATTTACTTTTGTCGCCTCTCACGATACCAAGATACTATGGGATAGTGGATTCTCTAACGCAGTCACTACACGGCGAAAGATACGGTATTTCTTACATTATTTTCGATATAAGCATCAAATTTTCGGTATGAGAATTAAAAAAAATAGTGCATGGCAGTGGAAAAGTACCATACACGCAAATGACACGTACCACTCGCTGGCCTCTGCGTTCCGCATCTGCAAAAGTTTTATTATTATTGCGGATGCGGTCTAAATTGCGCAGAAGCTAATATGCTAAAATAAAGGGAGGTCATCAATTAGCTTGCATTTTTACTTTTGTTGTTAACACACGACACTTGTTGTTACAGGCCGTTTACACCGTACACATCTTCCCGTCGTGCGACTTTGCTAACGAGAATCTGAACCGCATCGCACCAGACCTAATGCACCGTGTGGCTGACATCGCCCACTTACTCATCGTTATCGCCACTGTATGAGGCCAGCGGCCCGGTGCCGCCCGGACTCAAACTTACCTCAATTATGAACAAAACCCACTTCGACTGTACAAGTGTTATCTTGGAAAATACCCAAAAATAAACAATCATGGACTATGACACTCAATACCAGGATGTGACTTGATGTTCGCCTATAAAGACATTTAGACGACTACTTTAATAACGCATTGTAAATACGGCCAGGTTGTGAAAGTTCGTTCTATTTGTTACGTTAGTTTATCGACCTGGTAAGCAGCCGCTGTGGAAACGTTTGATTTGAAGCCGAATGATTCGTTAGGAATTGCGTCGGAATACCTCTGCGAGACGAAACGCTCGCGTAGCGATATATCGTTTAGAATATTTATTGTTATCGCATAGTGTGGCGGCCATGGAAGGCCCGTTTGTATAGTTTCACGTAATGTATAAGCTGCGCCACTTATTTAAGTACTAGACGTAAGGTTATAGCTTTGTAAAATACTTTTGTTATGGTCGGCTGGGTTCGGCCCTGTTCGGAGTTTAAAATTTATAAGAGTACGGTAAAAGCAAAGTCAGTAAATGGAAAATATATTTAATTTTGGGTTCCGATTAGATGAGTGGCAATCTATCGAGCATTTTTACTTGTTAGTGTAAATTGTTATTTTGTTTTAAGCCTTTAGCTCTAAAATAATTTAAATTTTGTAAATACTGAATCTATTCATAACTAAAAGTCGATTTATATTACTTAGGTCATTACGGTAGGCAATGGAAACGATAACTGGGTCGAATAACTGGTTAATTTGTAAAAACTACGATAGTTAAACGATATGTTATTCAATAAGGAAAATACACGTGGAAAATAAACTGTGATTCTGACTTTTTAAAGTAGACTTTTAGGTAGTCTTATGGAGTGTGAATTGTTGCAATACGTGTGTGAAATGAGACGCGGCGGCGTCGGCCTCTGGCAAATTGAATTACTGTAATCCACTTTAAAAATTAAACTAGCGTTTATTTAGTAATGCGAGTGCTGGTATCATTCTGAAGGCACGTTGTAGCAGTTTGTTTATTGAAAATCATTGTACAGCTTTGAATTATTAAACTCTTGAAGAAACACAAAATAATTTAAAACCAAATTTCTAACAAAACGTTATCGCAAGATTTTTGAACATATAATAGTACGTTTTTACATAACTTTCCCCTAAATAATTGCAGGGATTATTTTTATTTACATTTAATATTACTAATTACACTAATTTCAGAGGAATTGCGGCGCCGCTTTGAATAATTCTCTCGTATTCATTTATCACTAACGCAACATGTTTTATTAGCCAGACTTTTCCACAGTGACAATAGCGTACCTACTAATTGTTTGATTTAGTAACCTATCATTGTACTGTCTTTTTAACGTGTAAAGGAATGCATTAACTAACAATATTGTACTTCTCATACTGATTCCTGTCTGCATCGATAACTACAAACAGCGCAATTCAAAATTTTTCACACGCGTTGACTGACTATAGACTCATCTGGCTTCCATGCGATAATATTCATCAGCATCTCGCATTGTATAGTTAGATAAATGTACGACGAAGGGGTCGTGCGAGAAACAAAGTACAAAATATTTTATGTATTGTAATTTTATATGTACGATATAGAAAATAACAGCTCAGGTAACATTATGTACATTATTCTTTTTAGGAATTAACATATATATATGTATAGGTGTATAAATATGATATTGTTTGTCATGTTTCCGTCGCAAACAGTTCTCGACTTAGTTAGAAAGAGCACTAACGAACTCGTCACTTCGTCCATTAATTTTAACATAATTTTACTACTAAAATGGATATGGATTCCCAAATGTACACTATATTTATTCTTGTTTGGATTCCTTATAAAGGAACACGGTGTAAATAAACCTTCACAGATCATAGCGTTTCAATATTTAGACTTTTAACTTGCAAACAAAGTACGAGATAGACAGTGCATAAATAACAAATTCTAAAAAATATATTTATCGCAATCACATTACACTATCGTTTTATAATTTTTTTGTGAATTGGAATGTGCTTATTTAAAGAGACAGTCACAGACAGGTGGAAATTGTCTTGTGGTTGTAGACCATGAACTGTCTCATAGATATCTACATTCGTATATTATATTACGCTGTATCACATGTCAATTATTGATCACATTTAAATATTTTCTTAAAATTTTTATGTCTTATGGCCATAATCATTAATACAATTGATACTGGTTTGTCTAATTTCTTTAATGGAGTTAAGAGTTATGCCGTGTGCGATTGCAGACTTAGTAGTTTTCTCTAATTAGGTAGATGAGAAGTATAATATGGTTCTGTTTTTAACTATTCTCGAAACTGGGAGTTAAAATTACCCATATTAGCGTGTCTTGAATCGTTTAGAGTCACCGTAAAGTTGAACCGTTAAGATTGGGCAATGTCATTCTCTTCTCAAGTCGTGTTATAGACAACTTGTGGACGGCATGACATGATACAGCGGTACGTTAGCGGAGGCGGCTGATGCCGGTGTGCGAGTTGATAGAGTTTAAATATTTGTAAAATTAACATTTGATCTCAAGTGTGCAGCAAAAGTGAAGTGAGCGCTGACTGTAATATCGCATCAGCCGCGTCCGCGTGTCGCCGCTTACCTTTATTTTAGTTGTAGCAGAGCGTAAGTATATAAAAATATTGTGATCATATTTCTACTGTAAGTCTAAAATGCTAGGATCTAGAATTAACTGTATATTTTGTACATATTGAAAATAGTATTGTATCTTTACTTCCCTTATCCAAAAAACCCAGACTCCTGCGTGTTATGTACCTCCTACCTACCAATACTATTAAAAAAATATTACACAAAGTGTTTTTATTTATTTTCCCGATTTCCTTAACTTTATTTTCGTTCACGCTTCTATGCTAAGATTTTGCTTGCGGCTCTTTTTGAGTAAATACTAGGCTGGCTAAAAAGCACAAGCCCTGACAAATTGGGACAACGTAAATAGATAGTGTAAAGAAACAAATTAAAATCTAGGTAGGTGTTATTTTCTGTGCAGGGGTCTGTTGGAGTGGATAGCTCACCCGTTGTAGGGAGGATTGGATTTACTCGTCACGTTTTACAGGCGGAGTGGCGCCCACAGTGCCAGCCCTCTCGCGCCTTTGACGCTGCAGCCCGGCGCCGCTCTGCGTATTTAACGTATAACGTAAACAAGACGGTAATGCCGCCATATATTTTACGACAACGACAGAACGAAATGTGGTGATGGATTCACCACACGACTATTTCAATTGAAGCCTCAAGCCTCACGATCACATATGGTTTATTTCTGAAGTTCTAGAAGCAAATCGCTAAGTTCATGACAATTAAGAATCAAAGTTCAGATGCATTGGCACCCCTGTGGACTAAGATGGAATGCCTCTTATCCAGTAAATAGCGTCTCTGTAATGATTTCTTATATTTACGCGAACACTACACATTGAAATAATACTAGTTTTTACGGATTTTATCGCGTATATTTAACTATAAATACCCGACGTTTCGAGCGCTTTACAGCACCCATTGTCACGGGGAGGACTGAGATGTTCAACGTCAAATGTCATATTTAACAGCAGTTACCATAGATAAAAATTTAACTTATGTTCCGATCTACACAGTATGAACTTATGGTATCTTGAAGTCTTGCAGTTGTATGCTTGGGTTGGGATTTATTTTTATTTATTATAGGATCCCAAGCAGTTGGTGATGCAAGCAGATGCTTGATGGGAGACTTCAATGCAAAACTAGGCACAAGAGAAAGCGGTGAGCTGAGGGTGGGGAAATTTGGAGTAGGGCAACGGAACCGAAGGGGCCAGCAGCTGGCCGACTTTATGGAGAAAGAGGGACTCTTTATGATGAACTCTCTTCCAGAGGCGGCCCCACAGGAAGTGGACCTGGTCGAGCCCCGACGGTTCGACAAAAAATGAGATTGACTTCATTATGACGACCAGACGCCAACTGTTCAGTGATGTCTCAGTGATCGCAAGGGTGAAAACTGGCAGCGATCACCGAATGGTTAGAGGCACACTGAACCTAAATGTTAAGTTGGAGAGGTCTCGTCTAATGAAGTCAACGCTCCGTCCCCCTCGTGCTCTAATCCAGAATCCCGAAATCTTTCAGCTCGAGTTACAAAACCGCTTTCAGTGCCTAGAGGATTGCAATGCAGTGGACGATATGAATGACAAGCTCCTGGAAACTGTCCATGCGGTCGGAGCTAAGTTCTGCAAGACCCGCCGCAGAAGAACACAAAAACTCTCCGATCACACTCTTAATCTCATGGCTGTTAGACGGGAGATGAGGCTGCAATCGTCAACAGATTTGACAGCATACAGGCAACTGAACAGACAGATCTCCAAATGCATGCGGCGAGACTTACGCAACTTTAATACTGCTCGTATTAAAGAAGCGATCGAGCGGAACCAGGGCTTCAAAGTCTTTGCCAGAGATCTGTCTGCCAGAAAGAGCCAACTGTCAAGGCTGAAGACTGAGTGTGGTAACATCGTTTCCGGGACACCTGAGATTCTGAGTGAGATTGAGAGGTTCTATGAGCAGCTGTACACATCATCGTTGGAGCCACACGCAAGTGTGAGTAACGATCCAAGAGCAAGTCTTATCCGACACTATTCCGATGATATCCCGGACGTCAGTCTGAGCGAGATTAGAATGGCTCTCCACCACTTTAAAAACGGCAAGGCCCCGGGCGAGGATGGAATTACAGCGGAGCTTCTGAAAGCAGGTGGAACACCGGTACTTGAAGTCCTTCAGAAGCTCTTCAATTCCGTCCTCCATGGTGGCACTACTCCGGAGGCGTGGAGCAGAAGCGCGGTGGTCTTGTTCTTTAAGAAAGGCGACAACACTCTCTTGAAGAACTACAGACCGATTTCCCTCCTGAGCCGTGTCTACGTGCTGTTTTCTAGAGTCATTACGAATCGTCTCGCACGCAGACTCGACGACTTCCAGCCTCCCGAACAAGCC